TTGTGAGAAGGTTGTTAATTACCAAGTGCTGGTACAGCTGGGAATGCACGGCTTTCTCGAGAATTTTACTGAGTGTCGGTAAAATAGAGATAGGTCGATAGTTCGATGCATTTGACCGGTCGCCTGATTTAAACAAGGCTGTAATTTTTGAGCATTTCCACAATTTAGGAAATTTACCAGTAAGAATCGATCGATTCAACAGCTTAGTGATGGAGGGAGTGATTGTATTAGCAGAGCTCTTGAGTAGTCTAGCACTAATTTTGTCCAAACCAATTGCTTTATTTGTCTTCAAAGAGGTAAGCTGCTGAAACACAAACGATTCCTCTAGTTCAGTTAACTGGAACTGAGACAACGGTTGTTCTAAAACCAAGTTGCAATTCGACCAGGTAGTCGTTATTTTGTCAGCTAGGCGCTTGCCTATGGATGCAAAGAAGCTATTCAAAGCAACAGCAATGGATTTGGAAGTGGTGTGCTGAATGCCATCGGAAATGATGCACTGAACCTTTTCTGAGGATGAATTACGATTGCATGCTTCGTTTACAGCTTTCCACATTTTGCCGTGATCTCCTCTGGCTTCCTCGATCATTTCGCAGTAATATTTCGACTTAGCAGATTTTACTAAGCGGTTTACTTTGTTCCTCAGTTTCCTGTAAGTGTTCCAGTGCTTTTCTGAGTTCGATTTACGTGCTTTACGATGATACCAGTCTCGATCTCTCATTGATTCGCTAATTTTGCTATTCATCCAAGGAATAGGTGTTCCCTTCACACGTCGTCGTTTGACAGGTGCATGATCGTCTGCAACTTCTGAAAACAGTTTGTTCCAAGTTAATAAAGCGTCATCGATATTGTTTTCATTGTCAACGACGTGCCAAGGAACATTCCTAAGATCTTCGTTAAATGAATTCGCATCGAAATTCTTGTAAGAGCGATACTCAAACATTCTTGGATGTGCTTTTGTGTGCACACCAGTCTTTAGAATGCAAAACACCAGGTAATGGTCGCTCAATGGAAACGGAACAACACCAGATTTTACAATACGATGTTCATTATTGACAAAAATCAGGTCAATCAAGGTCCGTGAGGTGTCAGATATTCGAGTAGGCTCTTTTATCAGCTGTGTGAAGTCAAAAGCGCGCGAGAAGGTGAGAAGTAGTTGTTTGTCTTTCTTGGGCGATTTTGAATTAGGCATCATGTTTGCGTTTAGATCTCCTAAAATGATCACATCCGATTTTTCAAGATCAACAGCAGGCATACTATCTCGCAGAGACGAAATAAAAGTGCAGAGATCGGCATCTGGTGCTCTATAAGCGCAGCATAATAACGTTGGCTTACATTTATCTCGAATTAACTCAATCCATAAACATTCCTGTCCACCAGTATTGATATCATTCCGCAAACGAAACGCCACATCTTCTCTTACATACATAGCAACTCCGCCATATCCCTCTTTATTGCCAGTGCGATCTAACCTTATGCACACAAATCCAGGGAGTTTTATTTCAGCATCACTTGTTGAGGAATCCAGCCAAGTCTCGGACAGAGTTAGCATGTCAAAAGTTTTGTTGTTAATTCCCTCAAGACGCAGAGAGTCGGTTTTGTTTGCGAGACTTCGTATATTCAAGTGAGCAATCTTGAGACCTCTAGTGGACTTGATATCAGCAAATGTCTGGTAGCCGGGATTAATCTCAATGTCACCAGCAAGAGCAATAAGAGTCAAAGCAAAACAGGCACGATGAAAAAGCTTACAAAGCATAACACTCTTCAGTCGTCCATTAGACTCTTGCCTCTTATTCTACCTGATTATATGCAGAGGCCAGGTCAATTGTAGAGAACAGTCTAGCACCACCCAACACATAAAGGGACTCTTCAATGCTAGGCAAAGGGAAAGCATCTCATTTTACTTTGGTGTTCAACTGTTGGTAATCCACGCACATGCGCAGGGCACCATTCTTCTTGTGGACCAGCACAACAGGTGAGGCATAGTTGTTCTGGCTTGGCCTGATAACGCCTTTGTCCAGTAGATCTTGTAGATGCTCCTTGCCCTCAGTCAGCTGATTCACTGGGATGTCATCACATGTGGGTATCTGATCCTGCAGGACTTTGGTTCTGCCTAGGCTGCTTTCATCACTGGCAAACACATATGCATAGGTACTGAAAATCCGCAATGCTTCTCGCCTCTCGTCTGAAGTACCCAGAAAGTCTTTTAAGCTAATCTCTGCAGGAAGGTCTCGTTCACAAGGGGGGCGTACAGGCTTACTCGGCTCTAGGGAGGAGGCCCCCCGGGAACTCTACTCCTGGTGAACACTTCATTAATCTGAACTTGGAGCTTCAGCTGGTCCCCACTGGTCACCTTTCCAGCACCTTTTACCGTTCCAAGACGTGTTCTTGGCTTTAGCCATACATCTCTCCGGAAAGGGTTTGCCACTAGGATGAGGAAACAAGTCTTGGAGGCATCTAACAGGGTATTGGCCACCTGAAGATTTCCTGGTACTGGTACATTAAGGGTTCGACCAGGGCACTATGACCACAGGCTGGACCACTGACAGCTACACTGGCCACTGAATTCAAGGAGATGAGGACTGGGTATGTACCAAGAACATGGACAAAACCAGAGAAAGGGTTTCTGACATTCTTGATTCAGCATTGGGATGTTGTTGGAGCAGTGCACCAAACTGGGTATCTGTGCTAGCATGTTTGTTCTGAGGAGTTCTGGTACGTTTTTCTCTGTTTGTTAGTGGCTGAGCGTCTTTAAAGACTAGTACACAGCATCTGGGCACTTTAACCCCGTCAACCTCTATCGTCAGCTCCAAGTAACCAAGGTATGGTATCTCAAGGCCATTGGCAGCCCGCAGGGTGAGCATCTGGCCATCATCCCTCGCACGCCCACAGTTTGGCTTGAGATTTCTTTTGTAAAAGTCCTGTGACAAAGGATACCATGGAGCCTGAGTCCAGGACACAGAGCACGTCAATACCACTAACTTTTGCTTGGACTGTCAGGTACCTCCGACCAAGTGTATTGGCATGCTGTCTGGTGTAGATAGGGGTGTCAGGAATCTTTCAATTGCTTCTAACACGAGAGATTTTCCCGATAATATTCACGTTAAAATGACCCACAGATTCGACTCACTTAACTATTTTTAATGTCCCAAAGCCAAAAACTCGCTCAATCACACCTCGCCTCGCACATGGTTATTTTTTTCCTTAAAATCTAATCTTACATCACGTGATTACAGCCAATCAATGGGTAACGAGAACAAAGGGAACAAAGTTCACTTTCACAGAGTGACAGTCACGCAGTCCAATTCTCAACACTCTCCCCCCATTCGTCTCAAGAGAGCAAATGTCTTAGAGGCTATCTTAATCTCAATAGTTGACAATGCTAAAATGAAAATCACAATAAACGAAAATAGAACCAGTCTTTCTAGTTTTCATCATCCATTTGTGCAAGTTCCTGGATACGAGCTCTGGCAACAACCGCAGTGTTTCTTCGTGGTCTAAGAGCTGGCACGGTAGGATTGAGAGATGCTGGTCCCACTGTCATGTCACAGGTGATTTCAAGTGGATATAAATGCTGTATCGGGCACTCAATGACTGACTTGGGAGTGCTCAGCTTTGCTCCTCGGATCACACCATCTCGGCCAATAATCAAGTTGATCACCACTCCCAACTTCCACTGAACATGGTTTTTCTCATTGGACTTGATGATAACCACATCTCCTTCCACTGGATGGGCACTGTCACCCTTGTGCTTTAAGCGGTGTCTCTCCCGGAGCCCCCTCAGGTATTCTTGGGTCCAGCGGGACCACACTACATCTTTGCACTTGCCCAAGTACTTTGCACACTTTCGGAGGTCATAGTCTTGGATATGGTTTGGCTCCAACTCTGGCAGTGTGTTCGGTTGCATGTGCAATAAGGAACTCGGGGTAAGGATTGGCAGCTCAATGTCATCTTCTACATAATTTAGTGGCCTGTTATTAAGGGCAACTTCCACATCGAGCAGCACTTCTTTGAGTTCGTTCCACGACAATCCATTCCTGATAGACTTGTACAGGGACCCCTTGACCAACCTGATCAATCTTTCAAACTGGCCGCCCCACCAGGGTGCACGACTGAGATGGAATTTCCACTCGATCCCTTGCTGGGCTAGGAACCCATAGATCCTCTCATCCTTCATTACTTGCTTAACCCATTTGGATGCACCGACGAATGTCTTGCCATTGTCAGAGTAGATTCGCTGTGGTCTTCCACGTCGGGCGATAAAGCACTTTAAGCTTCTGATGAACCCAGTGGTCTCAAGGTTTGACACAAGGTCTACATACACGGCACATGTAAGGCTGGAAGCATACAATAGGATGTACGCCTTCCGTTTTAGCCTTCTTCCGGTACTGCAACGGTCCCGCAAAGTCCACTCCAATGACTTGGAAGGGTGTTTGAGCCACTGTGCAATCCCTTGGAAGGTTCCCTGGTGGAGGAGAGGTGTAGGCCTGTGCCCTGAACTGCCTACATCCATGACAAGACTTCACAATCCTTTTAGTCAGTCTTCTCAGGCGTGGCACCCAGTAGTACTCTCATACTTTTGCCATCGTACTACCAACTCCCCCATGTAGCACTGCAACATGGGCCTGGGCCACCAACTTCTCAGTGTACCGTTGTCTATCTGGTAGGAATATCGGGTAATGGCCCTGAATTCTGCCACGGCATTCCAGTACTCCATCTTCTTTTGCCTGTAGATTCAGCTGAAGCTTGTCTTCTTGGTATCGCTCATCAGCAGAAGCTCGTGCCTGCACCCGCGGTACCCAAAAGAGCTCTGCTTTCTTTGTTTCAACTGCAGTTAGTGGTCCCCCCAGCTTCTTGGTCTGCATGGTGCGAGAGTTCTGGGTGAATCAAATTATCCATGCAGTCACTCGAATTGCTTTCCAATGGCTCAACTTTTCAAGAAGGTCATCCTGCTCGTCTGCCACCGCCACTGCTACTGCTAGCATGTCTTGTTTCACTTTAGCTTCTGCTAATGATGCTTGTGTGGCATTTGTCACTATGTCAGGGGGCCAGGATGCTTTGTCTGACAACCACTCTGGTCCATTCCACCACAAGGCATGGTTGGTCACTTCTCCGCTACGGCTTCCCACATCAGCTGGGTTGTTTGACGTTCTCACATGATGCCACACTACGTCAGAATGTGCCTGAATCTTCTGAACTCTGGTACTCACAAACTGTTTCTACTCTCCTGGGCATCTTATCCAATGCAGAGCAACGGTGCTATCGAGCCAACAATACTTCAAGGTTACAGGAAAGCCTTCTAAAGCTTCACTCACATTTGACAGGAGATTTACCGCCATGTGGCCCGACACCAACTCCAACCGGGGTATGGTTAATCCTTTCTTTGCTAATCTTGCCTTTGAAGCCACTAGCCCTTGGTTGACACCCTTCTCTTGCATCACTACAGCATACACTGCAGCAGCCACGCCTTTTCTGCTCGCATCCCCAAAGGCATGTAACTCAATGGTTTGGATGTCTTCTTGATACGCTGCTAATGGTCGGGGTACGGTAACATGGTTTGGAAGTTTTTCCCATTGGACCCAATTTTGCATCAGGTCACTTGGTAGTTTAGCATCCCAGGCTAGTTTCGCAGCGCAGATATCACGGTAGAGAAATTTTCCACCCAGTGTGATTGGTGACACAAGCCCCAGTGGATCATAGATCTTGGCCACTTTACCGAGAATCCCTCGCTTTGTTGGCTCGGTGCCCTCTGATGGGAAGATAACGCTAGTGGTATCACTCTCTTTGTTCCACTGTAGACTGAGTAGAGAAGCTCCTTCCTTTCTTGAGGTACCTAACTGCTCCTTTGCGTATGTTTCCTCTTCTGAAACTGGTACTGGATATGCTGACTCCAACTCCTTCACGTTTGAGTGCCACTTGTGCAACTCAAATGTTCTTTTAGCAAATATTTCTATCGATGCTGATTTGATTGTTTCTGCCTGTGCCAGAGTGGACGCTCGACTGATGAGATCATCTACATAAAGGCTTTTCTCAATTTCACAAACAATCCTTGGGTACTTTTCTCTGCAGCTTTCCAGGAGATGCTGTACAACTCCCCCAAGGAGAAATGGTGAGCAGGTGAGGCCAAAGAGCGCCCTGGTAAACCTAAGTACTTCTAATGTCTGGCTGTTCAGATCTTTTAACCAGTGAAACCTTAGCGCGTCACGGTCTTCTTCTTGGATTCTGACTTGGAGAAAGGCTTGTTTGATATCTCCTGCAATTGCAACAGGGTGGAAATGAGCACGGACCAACACATTCCACAACTGATTTTGAAGGGGAGGCCCAGGATTTAAACATTCATTCAACAAAGGTACTCCAGAGTTCGCACGAGCCGATGCATCATAAATGACATGAAGCTTAGTGGTTTCTGCCGATTCACGCACCACTGGCTTGTGTGGGATGTAGAACTCCCCACTTCCGGTCACCGGTCCAGAAACCTTTTCGACTATGCCGGCCTTGATCTGATCCTGGATGACTTGATCACACCTTTCAATTGTTCCTTGGCTGTGTAACTTTCTCACAAGGTTCCCCAACTGTCTAAGACTTACTACTTCATTGCTGGAAAGGGGAGGATGGTTGCCTCTCCATGGGAGCCCCGTTTCATACCATCCTTCTGCGTCCTGTGTCAACTGCTCCTTGAATTCTGCGTAAACTTCAGTTTGGTCACCAGTGGACGAATCAGACAGGCCCAGTACATCTAGCTTGCACAAGTTGTCATAGTCTACGTGTGAGGTCTGTGTGAAGAACATTGGAGATAAATCCACTTCCTTTCCAGGAGACATTATGGTCCAACTGAACTTGGTCTTCTCTCCTTTAGGCTCACCTTGGGCTCCAACATGGGGTGCAGTTTCAGTCTTGATTTTCGCAAAATCACTGGCTCCAAGGATGAGATCTACTGGCAGGATATCCTTAGAGTCTTTGTCTTCCATTTCAGTTCCTTTCAGGTGGACATACTTGGCCGAGCACTGCTCATATCGAGAGTTTTCCAAAGAGAGTAGTTGATTTTTGTCCACTTTAGTTACCTCAGTGTTTAAGCAAAATTCCCCAGAGGTTGAACTGACCTGCACTTGAAATATTTCTACTTGCTTCATAACCATGCCTGACATCATCTCGATTTGGCGTACCTTACGTTGATAAGGGTGAGCTCGTAGGAGGTTGAGGAGTGCTGCCGAAGCGTAAGAACTACCCGCTCCAGTGTCCAAAAGTGCACGACATTTCACGCCTTGGACCTTCACAACTACAACTGGATGTATCACCGCTGTTTTCCCAGCTGAGGTGGCTGTCATCAGTTGTTCACCAAGCCTATCACAAATGGAGGTGTAATGCCTCTTTTGACAAACTTGACACAATGCACATTTGCAATCTGCAGCCTTATGTCTGGTACTGGTGCAATTGAAGCAAAGGTGTTTGTTGCTTAGCACTCGCTTACGCTCATCGACCGATGCAACTGTTTTGCAATCAACTGATTTGTGGTCAGATTTCTCACAATAGACACACCCTCTAACTCGTTTGTCTTTCTGGAGGGCTTGAAATGATCTGTCTCGTAGAAAGGGGGGCTTTTTTCGGTCTGACAGCTTCTCAGTCAGTTCACGTTCGACGGGATTCCTCTCTGTCCAATTCCTGAGAGCTTCCATGAAGTTCGGAAAGTCCCACTCTCCAATTGTCGTCTGTCCTTACCAGATCGCCCATGATTCCTTGTAGCTTGTCGATGGACATTCTCACGTACCCACGGATTTCTTTCAACTCTCCGAGAGTCTCTAACAACTGCACGTTGAATCTTCTGAACATACGCGTTCACAATCTTGCTCATCTGACCATACTTCAACTTCAGGATGTTTTTAGCCTGCTGATAACCTTCTGATGTGAAGGGCAAACCATCAATGGTGGTTTTAACCTTGAGATTGACAAGCGAGATACGAGAACTTTGTTACGGCAGCCACTTCAGAATGATTGATTTCAGCTTCGAACTGGTTCCAAAACCATGGCCAGTCCGTTAACTCTCCGCTAAACTTTGTGATGACCAGCTTTGGCAATTTAGCGCTCTTCACTGGAGAAGACGACGCCACAACTTGACCCAATTGACTTTTCTTCGCTTCTTCCATCTTCTTCTCAAATTCCAGCTTCTGTTCTAGCTGTGCACGCTCAAACTGCAATTGTTTTTCTCGATCCCTCTCGACCAGCTCCTCTTCGCATTTCTTGGCTTGCAGACTTGTTTTATAATTGATTTGAACGAGCCTTTCTGATAAATGCTTGATTTCTTTGTCAGCCATTTCTTGTTGTGCCTCAATGCCAGCGCTCCATTTGGCTAGCTCATCAACTTGAATGCCACTCTCTAATTTCGCTTGTTGAATCTGTGTTTTTACACCTTCGACCTTCTTCACAATTGTTCGAAGAGCTTCACAATGGCGTTCGTTTCCTTCAGTGTTTGCTTTCTCGACGATTCCCTTGGTTTTCCCTCGAGTGAATGTAAGGAGTTTGAGTTGCACGTCCAGCTCCGAGGTCAACGCTTCCATTGTTGTCGTGTTGTTGTTCTAGCGTCTGATTTCCTTGCTTGTTTCGCTGTTTCGCTCAGAGTCCCGTTGGAGGTGCCAGTTTGTGTCAGGAATCTTTCAATTGCTTCTAACACAAGAGATTTTTCCGATAATATTCACGTTAAAATGACTTACAGATTCGACTCACTTAACTATTTTTAATGTCCCAAAACCAAAAACTCGCTCAATCACACGTTGCCTCGCACATGGTTATTTTTTTTCTTAAAATCTCATCTTACATGACGTGATTACAGCCAATCAATGGGTAACGAGAACAAAGGGAACAAAGTTGACTTCCACATCGTGAAAGTGACGCAGTCCAATTCTCAACAGAGGTTCTGAACCACTGCTATTCCCCTCCATGGCATGGCTCAGTGCCACGGAGTATTCTCAGAGATGCACCTCCTATTTGGTTGCCCCTTCCATATGGTAAAAGAGGAAATCGATGGCATTGGGTTCGGTATGAGCATCAGTACCACGCTTAGCATCACTGATCCACTCCTCCAGGACACTATTCTCCCAGCTACCGGCAAACCTGAGTTTGCGCTCTCCGGGGACATTGACGGTAATCTGCTGAGGGGATTCAGAACTGGTACTCCTACTTGCTGTCTGCTTGTTGAGTTTTGTCTCCAGAGCCTCAAGCTTCTGCTTCAAAGCTGTGAGTGGTTCCTTTGCTGACATTCGTAGTTAACTCGTTCCTGTTTATTTCTCTTTTTGCTAAACTTTACTCAAACAACTCGAATCCCACTCCTGACACCAAAATGTAAGACGGCCAAAACAGTCTACGTAAGAACAAAAGATCAGAGGGAAGATTTACAAGTCTATTCCACAGCAAATAAATGCAACGGTACAAAAAATGGGAACGAGTGACACCAAACAATAAATAAGAAAACAAAGCTCCAATGAGCTAAATGATGTAACAAGATTAAAATGGATTAGAAAGTACTTAACACTAAAGGATAACCTACGGACACAAATAATTCAGTAAAAGATAGGAAACAAAGTACTTAAAAACAGGAAATTGTGTGATAGAAACTATCAAAAATAGTGATTGGTACACGAGGCATGAATTGATCAAAGAGTACAAGCTAATACAGTATTAAAGAGTGAAAGGGGAAAATGAAATTACTAGTGTAATGAACCCATGATTTGGTCATGAAAATGAAATCTACAAGCAGATCATTTGGTACTGAAAACAGCTGCTAATATGAAAACAATTGGAGTTTATAGAGCAAAGAAATTACATGCTGTGTGACAAAGGTCAGAGTAAATAAATAAAATACAATAGTAAGTTAAAAGGAATTTGTGGCTGTAGAATTTAGCATTCTCTGCATTTTATTTCAGTTCATTAGCGTTCCTTCGGGAATACGTTTTGTCTTTGTTTCCTGTGTTCGGTATAATTTACATGTTGTTAATATTCTAGCTGGTTGATTTCATCGAGAGAACATCTTGTCTTAAGAGAATATCCGGTTTAGAGTTGCCTTATCGCGGCCTACAGCACCGATACGATGTAAGTTTCCTAGTTATTATGTTCATCGCGTTGGCTTTAGCCACCTTTCAGTTTTATATTTCTGCATTTTGTAAGCTTGTATGTTTTGTTGGTTCTTCATTAGTTCAAACCTCTCCCTCCGATCGAGCATTTGTAATCATTGCTGTAAGCGGCCACGAAAAGACCCGCCTTTTGGCAGTAACAGGGGCTAAACTAAGCAAATTCTAACCCAAAAATCACTACAAGAATACAAATGGAAACAACTACATGCTAAGCTTAGGGCTGAAGCGAACATAAAATAGTGAAACATACCAAAAGCTAGTATAGCTCAGAATCTGCGTCAAGGGCAATCTTAGGAAGGCAACAAATCAACTGAACTTACCGAGCAAACGGTCGTAAAGTTATAGTAAAATACAAGAAAAGGTAAAAATAACTTAAAACCAAATATGGGTTAGGAGCGGGCAATTAAACAGTAATTACATAAGGGAAATTGGTGTTTACTCTTACACAACAGGACAAGGGCAGGTACAGGAGTAATACAATTAACACATTACTCAAATTACCAACAAATCACTAAAATTCCAGAAAATAAAATAAACAGAAGAACGAACAAGTTTTAAGTAGAAATTAAGCCTAAGTGACTCTGTCACGGTACTTCCTAATGTAGCCATGTAGTCCAGGCCACCAGCAGCGTTCGTGTACTAACTGCTCTGTTCTTTCAGCTCCCTGACGGCCACACTGATCACGGACACCCTTCACACACCTCTAAAGCAATTGAGAGTCACTGAGAGTCATAAAAGCTAGTTTCAAAACTTAGAGAAAGACCTTATCACTACTGTTGACATTCTTGTTGCTTGATTGTGCTGCCATTTACACTAAGAGGACAAAATCGATGCTGCTTTGCAGGGCAATCTGGCTTAACATTGTAGCGGAGAACTGCAGTGATGTCTTTTTATCACATAAACTGCAACCTCCACCTCCCTTCTCGCTGGAATAGATTTCCTGATGGTATTTTGCTGAATTGCACGTCCATAATCTTTGTGGAGCTTCTTAATTTTTTGCACCAGACAGTCTCCCTATACTGCCAATAGGTCTACCATCAGCTAGTCTCCCTTTGGTTCTGGCCTTTAGGTTCAACAGATGTTTGCCCATTCTGTTTTGTGCATGCCCCACACAGTCGAATTTCTTCAATTTGATGTCACCATAGACAAATTTCAACAGAATTGAAGGCCTTACGATTGCCATCACTCACCACCCATCTGTACCCTAGGTTATGACGTTTTACTCAAATTCCTCTTCACTTGAACCTTTTACTTTCTTTAAAGCACGTTTCTGGCATGCCTTTGAGAGGACATGATAGTCTAATACTTCACCAGCATCCACTGAAATGACAAAAACCACTCCAGTTGGATAAAGTTGGAAAATTACAATCTTTTTGGTCTCATTTATCATTTTGCATTCAATTATATAATAATGATAATAATAATAATAATAATAATGATTTACTAACAGGATTTCCAGGAGTAAAAATGGCTCTACATCTGTTATAGAAACATAAAATTAGGTATTACAATAAAATTAAAAAATGCTACAAATCAGGATTACTTATAACAATACATACATGCATATCTGTATGAAACATCTACTGCAGCTTTTAAAATTTTGTTTCTTTTGAAAAGGTATTAAAGTCTGGGCAGGATTTCACTGCAGCTGGGAGGGAGTTAAAATGCTTAGCAGCACTGTCTTGAAATGTGCAAGTGTATTCCAGTTGTAATAGGAAATACCTGTTAAAGAGCCAGAACATGAGGAGAAACTGGATTGCCTCCATGATTTTTTTGAATTTTGAAATAGAAGACTCTTTCTTGGCTGACATTCCAAGTGAATCATTATGTATTCTCAGGACAGTCTTCTGCATTGTCAAGACTCCAGCTCCGATGTAGAGTAAGGGTCTAATTAGCATTAGTGGACTATTAATGGCTCAATATTACTAGGTACATCTCTTTATCTGTTTGTTTACAGCCATCTTACAAACTCTGTTAACATAAGTATTAGGTAACATTTTATTACCCATTTAGGCAGCAGAGGTTGCACACCTATAACCCAGATTGCAAATAAAAGAGTTCACATGGACTTTTGCCAAGAATAACATTTCTCAAATGGTTATTTATCCAAGAGAATATGGCTTTTGGGGCCAGCAATTGAAGGTAGTCTCTTGGACAGTCGGGAATGGAAAACATTGGTTCCCGGGTTGGCTGTTTGTGGAATACATTTTTATGATCAAGTTAATGATTTTATTGATTCTTCTCATCATGGATTCCTGAGGGGTAGATCCTATACAACACAGCTTCATTTGGTGCATCATGACTGGTGTAAAGCCCTAGATAACCGTGGTCAAGTCGATGTGGTATTTATTGATTTTGCCAAAGCCTTTGACCTTGTGAATCATAATATTCTCTTGGCTAAATTATTTAAGTATGGAGTCCGTGGGCGTCTTCTGGAATGGTGTAAAGACTATCTCACTGATTGTAAATAGAGAGTTGTTGTAAAAGGGGAATTATCTGACTGGCTGACAATTATCTCTGGAGTACCTCAAGGTTCCTTGTTGGGACCTTTA